TATTTTAAGCAATAAATAATATGACTTTGTCTTTGAAAACAAATTGAAAGAATAAAAAGAAAAAATTTACATTTCAAATAAAATTGTCACTCACTCTTTCCTTTAAAAGAACTACTAAGCACCCATACATAGTATCTTTCTGATGAAAAATGAACGAATATGCACAACTTTGTGAAACCGGTGAAAACCGGCCGGTCCAACTCACTCAACCGGTCCGGTACGGCACCGGCCCGGTTACAACTCTGGGACGTATGCTTCATGGGTAGGAAAAGATTAGATCCGATTGGGCACACGTCAGAACTTTTAAATATATACTCTATATTTTACCCGCTTTAGACCTTGATAAATCTAGAAGTACAAGGAAAAGGTCTCCAATCTGACTGATTTTTCTGAAAAATTTCGAAAGTTCAAACAAAGTCTTCTTGTACTTCAACCTGTCGAAGCAGACAGGTTGCCAGATGTAATAGTGATGAATTACGAGTGTTTCAGGACAACGCCAAGCATCCGAAAATCGTAAGAGATCTGAAAGTCGATCGTGTGCAGAATTGTAAAGGACGCTTTGATCTATCTAATTACCATATTATGATTAAAAATTCATCGTAACTTCAAGATCTGCAGCATAATCTTCTTTCTTCCATCAGATTCATAATACTTCAGATTTCTAACGATTTACTGTACGAGAAGGTATAAAATGGTAAAATCTGAAATCACTATCTTTTGTCGTTCCCTTTGCTTTTTTTTCTCGACAGTTGTTTAAGGTTTAGATAGAAAACATTCGTAATAGCAATGTATAACCTACTTAAACTCAAGTAAATAAAAGATTACTAAATATACGAATAACTTACTTCCATTTTTTCCCAAAAGATGCCTCTAATTTTATGATGTTCCGTTACTTCTGGAGAGCTGTCACAATTCGTTACCGTATACCATACCTATAACAGCCACGACGAAAATGTCATAGATGTTGATAAAAAATTGTCTTGTATTTACTACATCGTGTTTATTATCGCCAATTTCGTTAGTTACGATTAAACTGGGATTCCAGTGAACAGTTGGATCATATAACATTTGATTTTTCAAATGTTCATCGATCCAACAGGCTTCAAAAAATATTTCCGCATTATAACGCTCACTTAAATAAAATACATCATATTTTTTTAGGATAAATATATGTGGAAACACAAGGGCGTACTTCAATGTATCTATTTCTCCCACACGCAAGAATACAAATCGTATTTTTATCTCAATTTCATCTGCTGGTTTATTTACTATTGAATCTATAAATGTCGCTTGTGGTTGAGATGGGTTGATATGACTTGTACTTGGAATTGATAATGATGTTGTTAAAGCTAGATCGTAAGCGAACGGTGATGTTACACTATGATTTTTGATAGAAGCTTTTTCGACAGTAATATCAGGTGGACTTTTTAGTGATGATGAAATCAGTTGTTGTTGTTGCTGAGATACGGACTGAAGGGAGTTTGATACAGTAAAATGATTTGGTTCATCATAATTGACGACTAAAATCAACAAATGTTTGGTATTAAGAACACTAGGATTGTCAAACAGGTTTTCCTCTTCCAGTTGCCTTAAGATGAAGAGATTTCTTCTCCACACTAAGCTTGAGCACGTTTTAGAACATCATTACCATGTGGAAAAAAATTTTCGATTGAGTGATATATTTGTTTTTCTGCATTTAGCATACGATAGGTCAGATCTGGTATATACATTCATGGATAACAAATATTTTGGATTTTTTCTTTTCCCGAAATCTTCTATCCACTGGAGAATATCTGACCGTTATGGATCATATAAATCTTCTCAGACTGCATGAAACATTGGTTAAATTACGAGTTTACGTATTTGAAATAGTACTAATAAAATTGACAATCACCTGGGTAACAATTAGGCATACACCAGTTAAAAACTAGTGTTAGAGCTTCCACGAAAACTGTTATAAATTGCCTATAAATAATTATTCCGCGTCGCGGTACGTCTCGTTTTGCGGAGAAATGTTTGCTCTACACAACTAATCTGTGAAAAAACTTAAAGTTATTTCTAACTAAAATGTGACTATCCTAAAATGCACTAAAATTAGGAAAAAAACCTGTTCGAACGGATTTTTTTCTGAATTTAGTACATTTTAGAATGTCTATATTTGCATCACACGTAGTTTCGAAATTTTCCTACTTATATGGGATTTTAGTCGAAACATTTCTCTACAAAATGAGACGTACCGCAACTCTGAGCAATTCTTTATAAGCGATTTATAACAATTTTTGCAATCTTTGAGAATCTCCGTTCATATTCAACATCTCTAGAAATACATTACGAGCTTCATCTGAACAGAATCTGTTTGTGTCAATAGTAAAGTATTAGGTTATTTATAAGTTAGTGGTACTTTATCGAGTTATAAAATCTTCAATTTTATTCATCTAAACTAAGCGTGATATTTGTCTGATATTTGTTGATAAAAAATCATAACTGGGTGAAAATTTGATCGTTAGGATCAATAAATTAAAAATAACCGGATATGTTCTATTATGGACACAAACAGATTCTGTTCAGACGAAAGCTCGTAATGTATTTATTTCTAGAGATGTTGAATATGAACGGAGACTCTCAGAAATTGCAGGGAGATGAATGGATATATTAGATTCGTATTGAGCATAAAAAGTCATTCGTAATTAAGCAGGCTTCAAGGAAAAATGCAAGTAACACTTAGGAAGTTGCACTCTAAAAACATTTCGTCAAACTTTTCTTACTTTAAGATGGGTGAATGTATCGGTCTTATTGTAAGAGTGATGAAAAGACAGTCATACGACGTTACAGACGAAAACATATTCACCAGTTTTGTTTTGCATCAAGTACCTGTAAAGGGTGGCCCAGAAATCTGACCCGATTTGAATAATAAATTTTTCTATAGTGAAACTTTGTAAATTTGGTGTATTTTACTTAACCTTCTTCTTCTCCTATTATTTCCGTAAAAAAAAGCGGAGCAAAAGCGACAATACAATTTGTGTTGGGTACTTTCAAATGTGCTCTTTCTTGTGGTTTGTAAAAGGACCTTTTAGAGCAGATTGTGTGCTCGATAATCAAGTTTCAAAAATATGTCGAAAATCGACAACCCCGTTTCTAACAGTGTACCCAGCAAGAAACGGAAAACGTGATCGAAGTTTTGATGTTGCAACTAGGTAGAGAAGAGCAATCATTTTTGATCGAAGCAAAATAAACCCGATCGAAAAACGTGTTGTTTTGATGAAGTTATGGGACTTTTACTGAAAGCACCACCATATGGATCGGGTTCACGGTTGATTTTTCTTATTTGAGAAGCACATTTCTAAGCCTATAACTTTCTTACTAGATGCGCTAACAGGGTCAATCAATAGTCATCTTGTAGAGCGTTTTTTACTGCATCTTGTCTTCATAGAGACAAATTTACAACCACTTGTTTCACTATAGAAAAATTTATTATTCAAATCGGGTCAGAACTTCTGGGCTACCCTTTATAGAGTCACATGGGGTAATTCTGATAATCGCCTAAAACTTTTCAGATATTTTAAGCATATTTAAGTCATTTTTCACCGGAGAAAATCAGTATTACGCAGGTAGATAGAGCTGACTCTTAGCTATCTACTGACGTAAATTTTTTTCTAAAATTCATTAACATTAATTAGTTCTAATCAATTTCCAGTGAATAGGTTTAGAATTATCATAATTCCCCCATTTGGGGTAATTGTGATAACCCAGCTATTTTTCATGGGATAATTATGATAACTTTACAGCCAAAATAGCTGGAATGGACTTAAACCATTTAATTTCAACAGGAAACTTGAAATAAACTGACTAAAAATTACACCATCTTGTAGAGAATTTTCTACTCTATCTCCCGTATGAATTGACAGTCATTTGGACTTAATCTAAATTAGTTAATTAGAAATTACGAAGAGTAAAAGACACAGTCATCTTTTTCATTTTTCTTCTTTGGGATAATTATGATAATCTCGCGTAAATGGCACGGATAAGCAGAAATAAATCTACACCGTCTCTCAGAAGCCAATTTCGATGCTATACTAAATAACAAAGTTGTTCAAAATCCTATAATCTACCACATATGTGAAAACTGGGAAAAAAAATAGTATTTTCAGCGAGTAATGGGGATATAATAGACCTAGAGTATTTTAAACGCATTTTTGTGCATTCAAATTAGTAGAATCATTAAGCTACAGCCAGAATTAGCAATTAGATCATCGATATTTGAAACTTTTCATGTAACGTATTGCTAACACAGAATAAAGTTTGAGAAGTTGATATTGCTGGTAACTTGGCTTTATAACTCTGTTTGGCTCAAAAGTGTAACTTTTTCATCAATAGCTTCAGAATTCAATCAAGTAGTTTGTCGAAAATTAATGTCAATGTCATATACAATGTAAAACAGATGCTGATTAATTCGAATGAAGGTTGATTTCATTTGAAATTTCCTTTAGTGCAGAATGAAAATCTTCTTCAGAATAACGAGATCCTCGTCCTTTCTTAACGTATGCACGAGGCATAAAGTTTGCAAAAAAAAGTAATAGTGAGCAAAAAAGGAATGAAGGGTAAGGGTTATAATGTTTTATGGTTTTTATAAAGCTAGCGCATCTTTTTGAAATCAACCTTCATTCGAATTAATCAGCAATTTAGAGTAGAAAATTCTCTACAAGATGGTGTAATTTTTAGTCAGTTTATTTCAAGTTTCCCGTTGAAATTAAATGGTTTAAGTCCATTCCAGCTATTTTGGCTGTAAAGTTATCATAATTATCCCATGAAAAATAGCTGGGTTATCACAATTACCCCAAATGGGGGAATTATGATAATTCTAAACCTATTCACTGGAAATTGATTAGAACTAATTAATGTTAATGAATTTTAGAAAAAAATTTACGTCAGTAGATAGCTAAGAGTCAGCTCTATCTACCTGCGTAATACTGATTTTCTCCGGTGAAAAATGACTTAAATATGCTCAAAATATCTGAAAAGTTTTAGGCGATTATCAGAATTACCCCATGTGACTCTATAGCGAACAGAAGAGGATACAAAATTTAAAATTTTTTTCGATTTTTCTGATAAATGTTTATGAGCACCATACATACACCGTTATGGTAGGGCTGAATTGGGTGACGTTCATTAAAAAAACTTTTATTAAAGCGTTTTTTTAATGAAAACACTGAAACTTTCATTAAAAACTTTTTTAATGAAAGGCTCGGTTAAGCATGTGACAGTTCACAGTTCACGTTCTTTCAACGGGATCGGTTCAACAGTTCACGTTCCTAGAAACGAGAAACGCTTCACCAGTTCCAGTTCCTGCGAACGGGAACTACAGTTCTTTTTGAACTAGGAACTGTCCGGTATAGCGAGGGTTTACTGCTAATGATTTACTGACTCTCTGTTCAAATTTTTAACATGTAAGTGAAAGAGAGAGCATTGAAAAGAATATATTCAATGGTTATCCTGTTTTAACTGCATGAAACCAGTTTCGTTCATAAGAATTTTATTAAAAATTTTAATAAACTTCCTTTTAATGGAAGCTTTTTAATGAAACTTCGATGTCCCGTAGGGCTATCATTCATACTAGGAGCGAAATCAGATTGATAATTTGTTCATCTTAAAACACGATGGATGAATTCACAGCACATTAATCCGAGACATCTGATGAAAACACAAAACCAAATGAGTAGCTTAGGTGTAGATACTTCAAATTGCTGATATTACAATATATCTTCGGGATCTTGGACAATTCTAAGACTCTTCTCATAAATTTGATTATTTTTATTTTTGAAGATAATTTACCGATCTTATCTGACATGGAGTCATCATCATCAGATGCGTTAGTGACAAATGATATTTCCAATCAATTTCCCACAACGCTGTTTTTAGTACTCGAAAGAGCAATAAAACCCACTGATTAGATAGTATCCGTACGCTCTGATGAGGAACTGGAAAAATGTCTCTAGTCAAATATTAATCTTATCCAAGACGGTCACATCGCTGAATTAGACACATCCTGTAAATGTTTTCTAGATATCTTTAATACCTGATACATTTAGAAAAGTAAGAGAAAATTAGTTTATGTATTTTGATTTGTCCGACATTAACAGGTCCAATGTACTGGACCAGTGTCTGCATGGAATGATGAAGTACATGCTTGTATTTATGGAATTTTAAAATTATTCATGGATCTTGTTACCATTTACTTATTACATTCACCATCAGTACCAGTTCAATTATTAAAAACTTTGTCTTTTATATTGTAATAATAAATTTTAAACTACACATAGAATGAAACCATATGATCAGGAACTTGCCGTTCTTTTTGTTGAATAACTGAAAGAAGTTATTTAGAATTAATTTTGATAAATTAAAAAATCGAAAAATCTGTTAGAGTCTGTTGTTGTGCTTTCTAACCCAAGCAAAAACGACCCAATTTTTTTGGGTTATTTATCTAGATTCAGATTCACATACATCTAGATGTACGTGGAGCTGAATCTAGATAAATAACCCAAAAAATTGGGTCGTTTTTGCTTGGAAAATTAAAGTAAGAACGTTGATGGACTAGTTACTTATGCAAGAAAGACAAGAAACAAAAGTAGGGAAATGTATAGCAGCATAAGATCAGGAAAAGCCAGTTATCACTATAAAATATGATGCCAAAGAAATGGCGCAAATGTCGAGCATTATTCCTGCATGTTTCTGATGGCTGGAGAGTTATCGTTTATTCACTGGAACGAGTAAAGTTTGAACTTCAAAAAGCATAATATACAAACTTCTATGATTGAATTTGAGTGAGAAAAAATCTAAATACCAAACGTCGCTCAGAAAGCTGTTTTTCTTTATTATTTTATTGAAGCCCGAAAGAAAATGCTTTCTAGAAAACCAAATAGATGACGATATAGTGTTGTGGGATACTCTATCGATTTCGATTCCTTCGAAGATTTCTCTGTAGTTCCTTAATACTAGAAACACACATCACTTGTGGTAGAAAATACTATTTTGCGTAAGAAAACACGACATATCGCGAAAATTTCTTTATTTAGGGCTCAAAATACGTTAGTAAAGATAATGATGTGAGTTGGAAGTAGAGTCCTACGGAAGAAACTTTCTAGTCTATACGTGTAATTCTAAGTCTATTACGTGCTTTCAAATAATTTGTTGAAAAATAGGTTTCTACTCGTGTAGTATTCTAGATCTGAAGTGCTAGAATGGTGAAGCATCTTTACTATGCTGTGCAATTCTATTTCTTTTTGTTTCACGTGAGTTATATGAGATGGGAAAATAATACTCACGTGAAACATAATTGGCATTTAATAAGCCATGTAATGCGTTTTAAATGTATGCCAAAAAAACTGGCTTTTAACTGTTACAAGACTGCCAGGTAACAGTCAGTTTATTGTCTGTTATATGATCGTTGATAAAGGCTAACAATAGACTGAATTGATCCTTTTCAGGACGCATCCGCAAAGCCAGCGTAGATCTACTGTATCTAAAAGCTTACAAAGCCCTTCAAAAAAAATAGATTCCTTGGTAGCATCTTCTGTACATTCATGATTATCATTGCCAGTTTTAGATGCTAAGGTTTCTTCTCGGTGCCACAAGACTCGAATTGGTCTTAAGTTAACGAGAAGTCTTGTGATAATGAGTCAACAGAATCGGATATTTTATTTTTATCTTAGTTTTAGAGCAAAATAAAGATTTTCAAAAAGATCAAAACAGCATTTTTTGAGCTTTTGAGATAAAATCGTTGAACAAAATAACTAAAACAAAATTTCGAAAATCCCATCTTGTTTGATCATAGTCTTCTGGTCAACTCAAGGCTAATTCGATTCTTTTGGCACTTTTTAAAACAGTGAAGAAATCTGTAAAATGGCAACACCTACTTGTTGATCCCCATTTTTAAATAATTCTCGAAAAAACTCAAGTTTCCGAGCTTAAATGCTTATCCTAATTTAGTCTAAGTAGATCTAACATTATATGAAAATTTGGTAAGAATCCTATGTTTTGTGTTGAAACCAGATTTCTAATAGGGAAGCTTTAAAGACCGAGACAGATAAGCAAGTTTTTCTTTCATAATCGTATTGAAATTTTGTTTGAAAAATGCTAATTTTTTTTTTATCGAATTATGGTAAACTCGGTACAATGCTAATAATGACATTTTAAAGATATATGATAAACTGAATTTGAATTCGATTACGAATGACAAACTGGTTTATCTATCTTTCTTCTCCTCTTGTATTAACTATTTTCATCAAGAAAGTCACTCGGTTTTTTGAAAACATTAGACATAGAAAAATATTTTGTTGTTAAGACTAGAAACAACAATTGCATACAACAAAGGCATCAAATATATTTTACGAATTTTAAGCATTGAAATTTGTCTTTTCATAAACAATTTCCCATGAGTGTAGAAATAAAGAGAAGATAATCTTCTCTTTATAATCTTACGCGCATATGTTATTGAGATCTGAATTTTTTTTTTATTGCATATTTATATGACCGATGGATTTCGTGAATCATTATTTATTTAATAACTAGGATTATAAAATAAATTATTTGTCACAAAGGGCAACTGAAATGAAGATACTTTGTCACTTAACAGTTTAGTTCTCATATTCATCATTTTCATCCTAATTATATAGACAGAATTTAAAAGTCCTTCAATAATTCTGGAATAAAAATGCTGCAATTAGCTGATTTTTTTTATATATTTACAGAGAATGTTAGGAAAAAAAAAGCAAACACATTTCTTTGTCATTATGCTTGATAATAATAAAAGAAACGCGTTTGTCTTCCGATTAACTTAAACTTAACTATAGCTGATTGTCAGAATAAAAGGCCGAAAAACAAATTGCATTGATCTAGACATCCATTTATAGGAAAAGTTTTAGACTTTCATATTTATGTAGATCAGCTACAAATATACTTTTGAAACTCTAATAAGATTTCACACGTCTCGCAAAAATTGTATCTTTGTACAAATGGCAAAAGAGATCAGGAAAATCAAAAAATATCTTGGAGAAGAAATTTGTGGGTTTCCCGCAGCCAGAATATTTAATACTGGTAGTACTGGTAGCATACTATAGATGATAGCGTGTCGCTCGATACAACATCTTCTGATTCGTTTAATAATAATAACCAATAAAGAATTAGATGAATGCGGTGCGTGTAACGTAAGGAAAGAATCAGTTTGTCAGATAGAAGAAGTTACCTGAAAATAACTACTGTCAATAATAGCTAAAATTAATATACTTAATATACGCGCTGGTTGACAGTCGTACAGAATAACGAAAATGGCAGAAAGATCTGATTCGTAGAACCTACTCGCGAGAAATAAACTTTATAGTTAAGTAAACTTCTCTAAAAAGAAAAAAGTTTTATTTTACTTTGAAATAATAAATCGCACAGTGAAAAATTTCTTTATAGCCCGCTTTCCTCGGAGAATCGAGTGATGTCCTCTATTTTTACACTTAGTCTTATAAGAACTTGACTATGCGCCACGTAGTAGTGTGTTTCATTCACCGAATAAAACTTCGTCTGTCATCTTCTAAAACGTGAGTTGCACAGCAGCTAAACTAGATTTTTATTAATTAAACCTTGAACTGTACATCAAACGAGAGACCGGTAATGTCAGCCTCTGCCTTTGTATAAGAAAAAGACAAAAATCGATGTGTTTCTAAATAAGCATTTGTTGTTACAGCTCTACTATTTTGGTTGTTTGCAGATTTAGATTGTGGTTTATCATTTACTTTTCGTTACCATACTCATGCTGTGCTACTGATATGTTTTGTTTAAGTTTCAGTTTTTCCCTATCATTCAGTGTATGGATTCTTCGTCAACAGTTTATTCTGGTCAACATATCAATAGTCCAAAACTTGCTTCAGCAACGTATTTAACAAAATTATTAAATGAATCACGATTTATCGTCCTGATCGATAAAGAACAGTTAGTGACAAAATAAATTGAGACCTATGATAATGAGATAGTGGTGTGCGAAAACTAAAAAGACAGTTATAGTGCAACAGATACAATTCGTCAACTGAAAAAAGATTTTAAAAAATGAAAGATAAAATATCATATTTGATTATAAACACGCCTTCAAGCAACACGTCTTCATGATAAAATTTATTTGAGATTGAACATACGTCGACAGGTATTCAATTATTTTTAATAAAAATTCTGTTTATATTTGTTTATCCATTTGAATTGTTTGTTTATCCATTTTCACAATCCATTTGATTGTGAATGATGACGAGTAATCAATTTTTGACTTATTTTTCAGCACATTTTTATTATGTTCGTGAGAAGAATACGATTTAATTTATTCTTATTCAAGTATCGAAGATATCCTATAATAATATTTTATTAAGTATTAGTCGAAACCATGAGATTGATTCTACAATTTTAGACAAAGTAAAGGGTGGTAGAGTTTAAGAAAATTGACAGTAACGTTAAAAAAAAATAAATTATGAAATAAATCAAATTATGAATTATATACGTCTGGTTTTATACATGTGGGAGAAAAATGAAGGTTCTAATTAATTATTAAGTTTAATATTAACCAGACTAGCTATTTTAGCTCAGAATGTTGTTGACTTTATTCGGAATGCGATTATTTAACAAAGTTGCATTGTATCATTGTAATACTTTTTTTAAGGATAAAAGTTGGATGAAAGGAAAATTATAGAAATCTCAAATATTTTATTTTTAGATAAAAATGTTTCTATCGGCATTACTGATTATTACTGTAATTCGTAAGTAATATAATCCGTAATATATTCCAATATTTCTAAAAATAATTCATCTTCTTGTAGTCATTTTATTATACTTATTAAAAATTTATTATTGGAGTGGTGGATCATTCAAATCAGACCAACGTCTTGATGGGAAATATGTTATTATCACTGGTGCTAATACAGGCATTGGTAAAGCGACAGCAACAGATCTTGTACAAAGAGGTATTATATGTGGATATTATAAAGATCGAACTGATAAAAAATGTTTTCTTATTGGTTTAGGTGCTCACGTTATATTGGCATGTAGAGATCGTCAACGTGCACAGACAGCAGCTGATGATATTCGAAATAAAACTGGTTCTCAAAATGTTGAAATTGAAATAGTAGACACATCATCATTGGAATCTGTTAAAAGTTTTGCTATACGTATTAGAAAGAAATTAAAACATTTAGATATACTGATAAATAATGCTGGTAATAAAAAAAAACTGAATTGAAGTTAATAAAATTCAACAAAAAAGTGCCTTTTTTTGTCCTAGGTATTATGATGGTTCCCTATGCGAAATCTGTTGATGATTTTGAACTACACTTGGCCACTAATCATCTAGGACACTTTCTTTTGACAAATCTTTTATTACCACTCATGGAAAAGTCACAACAAGCAAGAATTATCAATGTATCGGCACTAGCATACAAATGTAATAGAACAGTAAAAAAAGCCACTTTAATTAATCAATCATTTGATTGTTATTTCTTTTCTAGTTGCTCATATGGAAATTCAATTTGACGATATTAATCTTGAGAAACGTTATACTCCACTCATTGGTTATGCTCATTCTAAACTTGCCAATATTTTGTTTACGCGTGAACTAGCAAAAAGATTGCAGGGTACTGTTTGTTTTAAGTTGTTTTTTCCATCGTAGCTTGGTTAGTGTCCGTAAAAAGCGATTCTGATTGAAATATTTTTGTATCATTTATTAATAGGAAGCAAAGAAATATGCAAGGGATTTCCATATTTTTCCCGATTTTCGTTATTTTACGCTTTTCTATTATAACGGTAGTTGGAAATGTTCCTTCTAGGAACAAATATAACAGCTAATTCTCTGCATCCAGGTGTAATTGTTACGGAACTTCTACGTTATAACGAACAACGTATACCTCCATTTCTTTATCCACTTTACTCACTTCTAAAACCGCTAGCGTGGTTCTTTACCAAAAATGCTGACCAAGGTTCTCAAACTACAATTCGATTAGCCGTGGACAAAAAATTAGATGGTGTAACGGGAAAATATTTTAGGTATACAAACATTGTGACATCACGTACTGAGCTATAAATTATAATTATCCTATTTTTATATTCTTTAGTGACTGTGTAGAAGTTGCAACCTCATCGCAAGCTTCAGATGATCAAGCCGCCAAGCGTCTATGGGAAGTTAGTGAAAAAATGACACGTTTGAAAGAAGCAGAAAATGAATTAGAATCAAAAATATAGATTTTTCTAATCAGTTTAATATGTTTTATGTTAAAAACATTTTTATTTATTTTCTACTTTATATTCTGTTTGCATTTTGTTTTCTCTACATACTCTTGTAGTAAAGAATTAGTCACACTATTAATATGTCTATTATAACCTACATACAACATTCCAATTCATTATCATCTAACTTTTACTTCAAAAATAAATTGATATTTGTTTGTCTTTTTCAGATTATATTTTCATTTTTGTTTAATTTTTGTTTTCTCATTAATGTTTCTTTACAATGACAAGTGAATGTAATTGCTGTGATCATTCATATACGCCTCATTTTCGTTCAACATGGGCAAGAGCTGTTTATAATAAAATACAAAATGATCGTTGTCTAGAAGATATTGATCATCGTATATGGTATAAATTAGAAAATAATAATTTATTATTAGAAAATATACGTCCATTATTTATTCAATTTAATGAAGATAATGATACAAAAGAATTTTTACAAAAAAGTTATGAAAAATCAGAATGGTTATTAACACAATTATTTCATAGTGTTGTCACATCATTATTAACATTATTTCTAACGCGAACATCGACTAATGGACTTCTTGGACGTGGTTCAATGTTTGTTTATTCAACTGAACAGTTTAGCTCGTTACTTGATATTATAAGTAATAGTGAAACAAAAAAATTTCAGTCACTACTTGACATTGGTGCCAGTGATGGTACTGTGACATCGCAAATGGAACCTTTATTTAACCAAATTTACGTAACAGAAATGTCATCGACAATGCAGTGGCGATTAAAACAACGTGGTTATACCGTATTAGATACTGATAATTGGCAAGACTTAAAATTTGATGTTATTACATTATTAAACGTTCTTGATCGTTGTGAAAAACCTTTAACATTATTAAAAAATATTCGTGAACATTTAAATGAAACAAATGGTCGTCTCATTGTTAGTATTGTACTACTATTTCAACAATATTTTGAATATAAAAATGATCATCGACCATCGGAACAATTAATAATTGATGGAAATACACCAGAAGAACAAATCAATAGTTTTATACTTAATGTATTTCAACCAAGTGGTTTTAAATGTATAAAAGTAACAAAATTACCCTATTTATGTGAAGGTGACCTTGAACGATCCTATTATTATTTACCAGATTACATCTTTGTACTCGAAATCGATAAGTAAATTGCAGTGAATAAACGAAACGTTTCAGATATTCAATTCTTTCTTTTTCCAAGCTATAAAGACTATTTATGTAAAAGATCGAGAGGGAATCTATAGTTGTTTGAGTAAACCTATCCATCAAAACAGTAACACTACTAAATGAATTATCATATTTCTCATAGCTGATTTGTACTTTTTAGTAAGCCTTCTTTTTTAGACTAAAGCTAAATGCTAGTTTTGACATTTTTATTATACTCAGAATTCTTACGTAAATTCATTTGACTGATAATACTATTTTACTAGTTTTAATAGGCATCACACGTATAACATAAAATGAATATCATAATTAGCTCTCGTTAATAAGAGACTATTTAAACAATAAAAACAACTTTCTGATGATTTGAGAAGTAATGACCTGTATTTCTTTTTTTGTCTTTCCAATATGTTTGTGAATATTCCTCGTTTTTCTTATTTCTATTTGATGTTGTCAAATTTTTTTGTTTTTGCTTATCCAGGTATTAATATTTTTCGTAAATACTCATGCTATTATTATCTGTTTTAAAAGTGAAGGAGAATTAAAAGTCATTTTATAGAGGAACAGAGAGAAAAAAAGATGAAGATCAGCTTTTTGTTCGACATTTTCTGGTCAAGGCCTTATCGACTGATAGAAAAATTACAGTCACTTAAAACAATTCGAAAAAATATGTATAATTTACACTTACACGGTCAAAGAATCAGTTAAAAAGTACTTTCTGATAAAAAATGTTTTCTAGAGTAATGGTTTATAAAAATCACTTTTATCATGAAAAGACATCGCTACAAGATACAACTGGTCGATAAACCATGTTTTCATTCATTTCTATGATTACCTAAATCTGCTTAGACACGAGTGGGACCCTTCTAGAAAATTAAAATCCAACATAACGAAATCACAATAAATGGAAATCCTGGATTTGCTGTGTCCAGTACACGATACTTTGAACTATCATTATCGGAAGACATACACACTAGGATGTAAGGATCTAGAAAGATAATTTTATCTTTCCAACAGAGATGAGGTACACTATTTAAAAATAGTACTTTGGTCATGATTTTATCATTAGTCGATCAGACAAGGTCTTGACCAGAAAATGTCAACAAAAACGCGTATTTATATCTTTTCTTTCTCTCTAATGCTATTCAAAATAATTTTTAATCCTTTTCAGTTTTTGAAAGGGATAGTGACATGGTTTTAAACAAAATGAGCTTTTAATTTTTGAGTACGGTATAATCAACAGTTGACTTTGGGAGTTTTCATATAGTTTACGTTTATATAATTTTAATAGGTGAATTACAATCAATCCTGGTATTTCTGCGTCATGACATATTGCTACAATATTTAACTTGTTGAGGGATAATAATTTCAATATAAATGTAACAGTAACAACAGCAATAATGCAGCAGCAAAATAAATTTAAAAACAGCTGCTGTTACTCTTATATTTATATTGATATTGCCACAACTTTATTAATTTCATTACCGTTTCGTACAATAAAAGTTTCATCCTTTTTCAAGTTCAGAGGGTGCTAATTAAATCTTTTTTACTAGCTTTTGTATGATATAGGTGACAATATTAGCTTCTTTTGTCAGGGACAGATTCTAGGATATTGGACGAAGATTTTAAGTGCAAAAACTTAATTATTTGCTAGTCACCTATTAGTTGGACAGTGATCATAATAATTTGTTATTTGATCTCTATTTTAGATGCATTGTCCGTTCTGAAATATTTTTCATTGTTACTATTTTTAATAAGCCAACGAACGGAACATGGTGGATTCATCATTTGAGAAGAAGTTAAAAGATTTGGAGTTAACTAGTGATGAAGTAAATCGTTTAACAGATGCATTTAAAAATCCTGAATTTCGAAAACTATTTGCTGAATATGCTGAAGAAATAAGTAATCCTAAAAATCGTGATTTATATGAAAAAGAAATTGAATCAATTGAAAATCACCGTGGTATGAACGTAACGTTCATTCATCCAAATCCGGGCCATGTATTAAAAACAACTTTAAGTGGTAATATCATGATCGTCTTTCCTATCGTTATTGTTTCAGCGTTGCTTTTTTTAAGGTAAAAGCAAATGTTTTATTAATATTGCAACAAGTAATAATGTTGAAAAACCAAGTTATGAAAAAGAACAAGCAAATCAGAGCAATAACAATAGTACAAATTCATGGAATCAACGTTCAAGTGGAATGCATTGGAATTTGCCACATTGTTTAGCTCCACCGAGACACGATTTTGACAATAAATCAATTCCATGTACAGTTTATGATGTTGTCTATCATCCGGATACATATAGAATGGCACAAACAAATAAAAATTTCATGCAAATGATAGAAGAATCAGCACTGGATTCAATTGAAAATAATTTTCAATGTAAACTAGATCGATATAATATTAAACGACCAAAAATGAAATATAAAGGTGTACCAAGTGCAACTATCATTCGAAAAAAGAATGAAAATTTTATTGAAGAACAACAGACAAATCATTATGAGAATAATGTCGATTCAAATGATAGTAAGGAGTACGTATCATTGTGGGTATGAAAACTATAAATTGATAATTTCTTTTTTTATTCTATATTCTAGTGAATTCATGAGTGCTTTATTAAACTTTTCTTCAAAATCTCATACGAAAGAAAACCATAAAGTTATTATATCAAATAGTCATCAAACTTCTCTATCAACTCGTGAACCATCAACAAGCCAAGAATTAACTTCCTGTGAGTCACCATCTTCTAGTGATGGCTATACGGTACCAACATATAAAATTATTCATCGTGGAGAGTTTGATATGCAAGATTTAGTTCAAAATTCACCAATTATCCAAGCGAAATCAACACGTTGTAAAGAACTTGTTGTTGAAATCGATTTACCATTATGTACGACATCGAAGAATGTCGATTTGGATATTTATGAGAAATCGTTACACATTCACTGTGAAAAGCCAAAATATGATTTAACTTTAGATTTACCGTACCCTGTGAGAGAAAATGACAGTCATGCAAAATTTGATAAAAAACAACATAAACTTGTTATTACACTAGCCGTAATGAAACAAAACGATTGTGTCGTAGATTTAGCTGACATTGCTCCTGCACAAATTGAATCAGTTGAAGAAAATAAAAAAGATGACAGTAATCAGGTGACGAACAGAGAAAAAGAAGAACTAATCGTACAGAAACTGTTAACTGTAGATACAACAAACTATTCACCAATTCCATTTGATTTTAAACAAGGAGTGTCACATATTGCACTTGTCTTACATTTAAAAAATGTTGATAAATCCAGTATTAATATAACCAATGATGGTAAACATGTTTATATAAAATTATGTTCATTAGGTGAAGGCTGTTTTCCATTGTCTCATCAATTATACCTCGATTTTGATGATGGACAAGAATGCCGTGTACTTGAACCAAATGGAATAACGATTAATCATAGTAATGAGAATGTTGTTGTTATATTGAAGAAAGCAGACAATAGTAATCTAATCACATTTCATGCTGGTATCAATCAGCAACAACTCGAGGTATTTATTACTAAAATTATCGACATTATATTTTTAACCAGCCTGTATACTTTTATATATTGCATACGACTAAGGAAGTTTTCATTAGTAAGCTGGAGAACATCGTAGCATAAATCATATAATTTTTTTATATTCTAAATAAGTACTTTTTTCTTCGTACTAACTTTATTTATTATAGTTCAATCTTCCTCAGTGGATACAAACATTAATTAAATTAATTTAAATTACATAAACAAAACAATTTAAACAGAAAACTTAGCATAGGGGTAATATTCCCCTTTTTTTAGATTTATAATATATACAGTCGGTAATAAAAAAAACTTTAGCCTGAGCCTTATTATCGACTATATATATTATAAATTTAAAAAAAGGGGAATATTACCCCTTGTGTGAAATGTTAAAAAAAAAATATTAAAAGTTTTCTGTTTAAATTGTTTTGTTTATGTAATTTTAATTAATTTAATTGATGTTTGTATCCAATGAGGAAGATAGAACTATCAACCGAAACATTTGGAATAAATAAAGTTAGTAAGAAGAAAAAAGTTTTAGAATATTAAAAATCTCATCTAACTGCGTATTCATATCGACTTTTCAAAAATGATATAATTTTTCCTAATATTAAACTTTATCAGGTCTTGGGTGTATTTCTAAGTGCATACTCTCATGCCGTCATAAATACTAGAAAATTTTCCCCCATATCTAACTCGATACACTATGCAATCTGTTAGGGTTAAAATGGTAGGCTTAAAATTTCGAAATGAATTTTTAGATTGGATTGGACCGTATTTCAGAAAGTCTGAGGTATGAAAAATGACTCCTAAAAAACTATGTTCTTGTGAAGAATGAAGAAATGACTGAATAAGTGAGACAGTACCCTGAATAACGGCGAAACTATATTGTCAACATATTTTAATTAACTTCAGTCGAAAAATGATAATTAAAAAAGGTAGATTTCTAACCATGAAGGTTTTTTCTTCCAACTTTCATGTATGACGGTGAATTTAAGAAAGAAAATTTAAACAGTTTTGAAAAATAAACTTGATAATGATCATTATCAATAAGAATCGAACATTAAAGATTGTTGTAAAACTTATCTGCTCTATAAATGTTGAAGAGAAAGTTCAAAACCAAACATAGTATCCGTTTGTGTTGTAGGATATTGTTAAAACAAAACCGTATATACACCATGAGAAAGAGCACATGTGAAAGTATGGAAAAATTTATTATAACATATTGGTGCACTTACTTAGTCATTTAGAAAAATAAGCTGATTTTTCTGGAGCAAAAATAAAAAGTTTGACGATTTTGGAGCAACGAGTTATTGGTCGCATAGTTTATCGCTGTTTTACATACATGCATGACTACTGCTCGATCTATTATAGTTTAGTAATATTAAAAATATCGTTTGTTGAGAAAACGTTGATAAATGTGCATAATATTTGTACGAAGAACTCAACTAAATTCATTATTTTATTTAATAATATAATGAATTTAGTTGAGTTCTTCGTACAAATATTATAGTTTAGGTTATCAGTTTTTCTGAGAGTCCTGAGACTGGTATTACATGACTTTCGATATCCCCGGAAGTGAATGGTCAATCAATCTAGCTTACATAGAAAGATTGTCTTTAAAAAAAGTAAAAAACGTAGCGAAAATCTACTTTAGAAGAAGTAACGAGTGCTATTTTCTTACCCTTTCGCTTTCGATACGGTTTCCTCCTCGAGATTTTGAAGTAAACCGGTTTTAGTTACGGATAGTGTAAAATGTTCTTTTTGAAATGACCGCCAACTCAGATCCTGATTTTCTACGGTTTATGTGTGGAATGGGATTTTTGTCAGGACTGATATTTAATTGACAACGACTTGAGAATTTGAGAAGATATTTAATTTAGGCTGCTCTAGGAATGACTTTTAACATCTAAAATTAGAAAAGGTTTCAAGAAAAGAGTCTGGAGAGATCCAGCTGGATTTCTAGATAACCTTAGTAAAAAAATTGATTTTCTTGTTGTTTTTATCTCAGAACACTGTGCATTTTCAATAAATTTTTACCTTAGGTGGAAATTCAAGATTCAGACCTCGACATACCGAAATCGAGTTTTCTAAATATTAGATTCGGTTTCAGCGTCAGAAGTAACGTATACAATGTTTTTTTGACGTAATTATATATTAACAGTAACACTTCACATACCCTTGGTTTTTCAGAAGCCTTTTTCTTAAAAACTCCCCATGGGCCAGACTTTTCCTCCCTCTGAATACATAGTGTTTGATGCGCTCTTTCATTTAAGATCACTTGCGATAATTATGGTTAGAGGGCACACGCATGAGAACCATTACAACATAGTGCAGACCGCTAGAAAAAGCTGGAAATAGCGCTTTTTCGCTGGGACATTAAAACTGAAACATCTCCTTAAAAACGCATCAATCTTGAATCTGCGATTTTCTCACATCCAGTCAACTGACAGCCCATATAGTTTCATCGATGGCGTCCAGACTTCTGTAAAACATGATATCTACTTCAGATAGATTTATCCTTTTGTCATAGGCAAACATCCCGAGATTTAGATTCATTACTAACTATTCATTTCTAAATTTACCCGATATCACAAGATCAGTCTCTGCAACATTTCTTTCCACTTGCAAAGGATCTTCTCAATTTTCTTTATTCGATCTGATCCCAGCAGCAGTAATTTAATCAGGAATCTTTCTCATAGGCAGAGAAGTCAATCCCTTTGTCTATATCAATAAAAATACTTTTTCAAGAGCGAGAGTGTCTGCTAGAAATGTTCCAAGGAGAGCTATGACCCTATGAGTCATTCTCACCGCTTCATACGACCAGCAGTTGTAAATTTAATAAAAACCTGTTTCAAAGCCAGAGATCGCCTAGGGATGAAAAGAGAAAAGAAAAAAAGGTGCCTCTTCTAGGTATAGTTTTTCATTATTGCGTATTTTTTTTTCTGCGATATCTGAGTGATGTGTTGACAAAAAAAAACGAGCCATGCTGTGTGTTTTTCTCTAAAAATAATATCACTAATAGTTGTTTAATTTTTACTGTCTGTTTCTTTTTTTATTTATATGGTTTTATTAATCGTGTACATGACATTAAAACACTTATTAATATCACAATGTACCTCAAGTATCAGCTAAGGATAGAATAATACAATTTATATAGCATGAAAAATATTACGCAGTAAGATAACTCCACTAAAATAATCACTTACTTTGTCGGATAGTTTCTGTGAAACATGATTGTTTAATTTGAAACGTTTTGTATCGTCTATTTTTCTAAAAGGTCTTTTATGACAACTTGAATAGTTCAGATTTAAAAAAGCAATAACAAAATGTTCTGTTTTCAGTTTTATATATCATTGGGTATGCTCTATTCGAATAGCATACTCTTGCGCATACTCTACAGGTGCAACATTAAGAAAAACGCAAATGACTAAAATATTTATTGTGTTTTCTTCACTGAATGATTTCTCCTTGTTAATCGATTTTTATTTTAACAAAACATGATATACTTGTTCTGGCTTCAGTGTCATCAGGTAATCGTATGTTCTTTTTTCTAATATCGTATTTTCTCCTATTACAACAAAACATTCTCACTGTTTAAAAATTCGAATTGCCATAAAGGAATATAAAAACAAAATAAACTTTATAATTATTGAAATGAATTCTAAAATTTGCACACGATAATGATGACTGATATGTAGTTCAAGTTATTACTTTTTTCAAGATTAAAGATTTTTCCTCTTTTTTTCTATAGACTAAATATTTTACTTCACCACCGATACCCAAGGTTTCGTCACCACCAACATCTCCTGTTATCATTAATGAGCCAGTATCCTCTGAAAGTAATATGATTGCTGTACACGACCAAAAAACATGTTCACATAAAAACGATTTTCTTTTATCAACAACAAAAAAACAGGAAGTAATGGCAGTGACTGATAAAAAACAAAATAAAAAACAAGCTCGTCGTATGGCAAAAAAAGCACGTCAAGCAAAAGTCGCATCAGATGAAACAACAACAGATGAAAGAAAAAATGGTTCTGTTTCGTCTTTGTCATCATCAGATAATAATCAAGAAACAGCTCACACTTTGAAATCTGATAATACGGATAAATTACGTGAAATTAAATTCAAATTAGATCATACTAATCAACGGTCTCATAAGACAAATCAAATTGAAAATACTTCATTGACGTCAAATGAGAGTCAGTTACAAGAAATTGAAAAAAAAGATAAATTATCAGATATGCCAAAATTATTGCGTCTACCATCTTATCGTCGTCATACATCAGAGTCAAGTGTAGATGATGAACCAGGTGAATATAAACTGAAAGTGAGTACATCTACACAAAGAAAATGATACTTTAATCAAAGAATTTATCTCCGACTGTACAAGACCACACTTGATACTGCTAAGATAACAGTTCACGTTGAAGTCAGACAAATCTTATTGATTTTTCTTTTATTTAGAGTATATTAAAAAATTCGTTAAAAATTCGTTCATTATCTGAAAGTGATTATAATGCGGATTTAAGTAGTGATTTTCAATTTAATTCATTGAATGTATTTGATCGAACAAATGATTCGTCTGAACTTGATCTAAGTTCTTCCGGTAGTATTAATAATAACAATACAAATACAACTACTGATAGTACATGCGTAACACCAAACGGTACAAATGTGAAACGTGTAACATTCAGTAATCAAGTTGTTCGAAAAGTATTTAAACCAAATGGGCCCGTTTCAGGTATGCGAAAATCATCACACAACCAGCGCAAGAACAAAAATCGACAAAAGCGACGAGATTCAGTATCCCTATCGAGTGATGGTGACACCGAGATGCCGAATAGGGATGGACATACAAAGATCACAACAGCAACAGAATCCAAAACGAATAATGTTGAGAGTAATGTAAATTCTCAAAAGTTCTCTGAATCAAGTGACGATGATACTAGTGAGAAAGGAGTGGATATTAAAAAGAAAGAATTAGGTTTAGAAAAGAAAAAGCAGAATGGCAAGGATCCAACTGATAATAATGACGACGGTACGCAGAAAGAAATTACAAAGAAGACGGTGGGCAAAGGTAATGAAACTGACGACGGAGATTCAAATAAAAATCCGTTCATGTTGGAATCGATTTTATCTTGGTAAACAGCGGGTAATTCGGATGGTACTGTAACAACTAAAACAAAATCAACCGTTCAGTTGACAAATCCACTTATCTTCGAGCTTGATAATTAACAGAATAGGCGTCCATTTTTTTTCAATGGTTTCGATATTTTCTATTTTGCACAATATGTTTATTGACTGCACACAATTCAGGGGTTTTTTATTTGTATGTTTTGTTTTGAACATTAATCTCCTTGTGTTTTTTGTTTACGCATGTGCTTGTGTTCCGTTTCAGTTTGAGCAACAGATTTTCGGTTTCTTTTCATTTTCTTAAAGTTCCATTTTGGATAGAGCAGATGTTTAATCTCTTGTTTTTTTTTCATGTCCGTTTTAATCTTTTCATATGATGACATAAAAGATACATAGTGACATAAAAAAGTCGGGTTATATTACAATATTAATTCACAAAACGCAATGATGTAAGAAAGAATGAAAGGGCAAATCCATCTGAAATGTCCCATCAATACGGCAACTTGCTTCGCTTTCTCCGCGGATAAAAATTTGAAAAAGCGGTTTTTTATGGTCATAATCGAACTGAGAATGCAAGGAATAGGAAGTTGTTTTTATCAGAACCCAAGTTTAAAATACTGAGATAAAACCCAAATATACTTCATTTTTAAAAGTTGAATATCTCATGAACCGTACATGAAACATTCTTCAAAGTTGTAGAGAAAATAGTTTATGTCCCACTCTATAATAGTAACCTTAAGCAGTTTATCAAAAAAAGGGAGAACATGTTGTAAAATTCATCGCAGTGCTGATCAATTCGCAATGAGAGTAGCGTCGAATTCGATATTTTTGGTGTGAGAGTAAAAGTCGTTTTTCTCGGATTCTGCATCAGGTATGAAGTCAGTTTCCTACATAATTTGAGGTGCTCTATAAAACTAGATTGGTCTTAAGACAAGCGGAGAAAGTTGCCGTATTGATGGGACATTTCAGATGGATTTGCCCGAAACTAGATAGATGCCATGCATCGTAGTGAGTATCTGATGACCCAGAAAAAATGGGTCACTTCTATTCGTTTTTTTAGGGTGAATCCGGTAGTCCAAATGGTTCGTTTTAGGCTCAATCGATAGAGAATTGAATTCTCTACAAAACCTGCTATTTGAATCTCTGATAGCATTTTTCTTGTTTGCTCACAATTCAAAACATTTAAGGATGCTGCGTTGTCGAACTGCGTCTCTTTGTTTCTATCTTTAGCCCATTGTCTGTGGTACAAATTGTACCACAGACAATGGGCTAAACTATTGTACCGTATAATAGTTCATTTTTCTACGCAGAAAGACAGAATTTTGCTCTATCAATCTCACTCATGCACAACCTCATACAAGATTTCAGCCACTTCAGCTGGACTCTTAATTAGTCCTCAACCGGCTTTTCAATGTTTTCAAATTAAATTAATAATTTCAATGAGCCATATTCACATCCTGATGAGGTCGCCACATCGCGGTACTATTTTCTTGCCTTCTGTCTATACAATACTTGTACTCGTACGGCCAGCTTTGAAGCCAGCTTTTACAGCCAACATATAGCGTCCTCATCAGGATGTGAATATGGCTCATTGAGAAACTTGTTTTTATATCAAAAGATGCAGAATTTAATTCTATGGAAGGTAATAAGAGTAAAACCCTCGATTCAGAAGGTTTTACTGCTTTTATAGCCCAACAACTAAAGTCTATGAAAAATAGATTCAAAAGTTAGGCTTTTTAGATTTAATATGAGTTTTTTGCATAGAAAAATTTTCCTACAAGACTTAACTGCAAAATTTCGAAAAATATATGCAAAGATGCGGACTTTTCCTGGAAGTCTTCTGATATTTTCAAAATTCTTATGGAAGCTATTTTTGAATCAAGACAAATATTTTTCTGCCTTCAGTGTGTTGCAGTGCGACAACTCAGCACCATTCAGTGTTTTGAATTGTAGGCAAACGAGAAAAATATTATCAGAGATTCAAATAGTAGGTTTTGTAGAGAATTCAATTCTCTATCGATTGAGCCTAAAACGAACCATTTAGACTACTGGGCACACCCTAAAAAAACGAACAAAAGTCATCCGTTTTGTCTGAACCACCCGTTATAGCGGACTTCTGCACTCAATTTTACTTTGACAGACGGATATGAAAGGACAGTTTTTTTCTTAATATAAACGATTGCTTTCGGTCTAGTACGATGTTCATTGTGTAAATTATCTAATTATTAAAAATAAGAAGTTAATTTGTTGTGTAGAGAAAATTACTTGTGCAAAGTTTTAGCTGGACTTGTGCTATCCCTAGTGAATGTACTTGAAGCTAAGTACTTGAAAAGTGCTTGGTACAAGTAATGAAGTCAGTCTCTGGTAATTTCTCACAAGTAATTTTGCTTACAATTTCTCTGAGTTACTTGTCAAGTACTTGTCCAAGCATTTGGCTGACTCATTGCTAGCAACTTTAGTCTAAAAACTTCACCCAATTCTTGCTCCATTTATCTTCACTGTGTATTTTGTATGTATTCTGCGCCATCCTTTAGCAGACGCATGCATGACTGACTAGTAGTCAGTGACTACTCAACTTGCCCAAATATCTAAATTTATTTTCTAAGTTGATGATTAGGTTCGCGATACAGCAAGTAATGAAGGTTCGTTCATTATCTATATAAAAGTGTGTCAGTAATAACCGGCTTTTCTGTCTTTTTTCAATGTTTTGCAGATTTTTATCGATTACGACGGAGACTCAATTCTCATTTACAGCATCCTGTAGATGCTGCCCCACAGCTGGAATAACATTCACCAGTCAAACCTCAATATCCGATTCTATGCGCAAAAACCAACAGCATACGTGTTCTTGAAGGAAATGAGGTAACGTCTATTTTTCTTTATGATATAAATCACGAGAGATCAAAACTTATCCTATTTTCCTTTCGCATAAACCCATCGTAACAATAATTGCGTCAACGATGTCTTCACTATTCGAACAACTACGTGAATTGAAAAATAACAAAATCATGTCTCATAGTGCCTTGATAACTCAACTATGCGATATATTCGATAAGTTATTGTCCGCCTCTGCTTGTCCATCCCCGGGTGAAACTCATCTTACAAGATCATACAAGGTCTGCCGTTTTCTTATGAAATCTTGTAACATGATGTTACAAGATCTTGTCTTAGAATGTTGTAAGATCCTGCGGAATCTTGTAACTCCTTGTCTTAAGATTTTACATGATCAGCTCATAAGACGTGACAAGATCTTACAAGGTCTTGTAACACGAAAGCGTACTGATCCTTGCCATCGAAAGACGTGACTTATATTTATTTCTTATCACAAGATCATACGATTTCTTGTTATAAGATCTTATATGATCTGGCAAGAATCGATGACTCATTCTTACCACATAAATTTTGCTATGATATTGAGTATATATATATAACATAGTTCTTATGATAAAGCTTAGAATTTCGTTCTTTCCTCGTCTTCACACATTAGCTGAGCGCAAATAAAGTGTATGGCTATAAGGAACGTGGTTAACGACGATCCTAAGTACGTTTGTGACCTACTTATGCCAGAAGATATTATGAATAGAGACAGATACTTTTTTAAGAGGGTCTAGAGGAAATTTATAGAACATGATCAGGCACATAATCTTATAAGATCTGATGAATTCTTACGTGATCTTATGAGATCTTGTCACTTCTTGCAAGATCATATGATATCTTATACGATCTTATGAGGTCTTGCAGCTTCATATGTTATGATCTTATAAGATCTTACAAGACCTTGTAAGATCATTTTTCTTATAAAATCTTATAAGATTCTTTTACAAAGATATCATACAAAATCTTGCACGATCTTATAGGAAGTCAAAAGATCTTACAAGATCCTTTGAAATCTTATGATTTCTTGGAATAAGATCTTGTAAGATAGAAAATCTGGATCTGCTCGTCCTGGATCGTCAACGGGTAGTGTTGTCGTGTTCTATTCGATGAGAATCTGTATGAATGAGTTAAGTCATCCGACAAAATTGAAAATTATAACTATTTGTTTTTGTCTAGTCGTATTTCTTTTCTGTCAAATTTAATTGTTCCATATGAAATTGTCATATTTAGTCTGAATTGTTGTACTTATCAATGTTTGAAATGGAAGTAAAAGGAGTTGTATAAAAAACTTATATGGAATTATTGTATGATAACTAATAAACTGTAATATAGCTCAAAACAGACGCTCATATGTTTTGTGAGTGATCGAGAGCAAAGTTATACTCAGATTGTTATCACTCATTTTTCATAATTCGAAGTAGCATGCATGCAGGTCCGTAGCCAGGATTTTTGCGAAGGTGGGGATCGACCTTTTTGCCTTCAGAGATAATGTGAAGGCTTATTAACTAGCAACTGACGGGATTCAATGGAAAAAAATCATTTTTTCAAAAGTCAAGGGGGGAATCAGTTCCCCAATCCCCCCTAGCTTTGGTCCTGCATGCATGTGGTCTATTTTCATTCAGTCAAAAATGAAACTCCTTTGATAAAAAAAGAACACTCTTATCTTGCGCGTTTTCTGTTTGAGTGAGAGCGACCAAACGTTTTTCTCTGTATATGAAATATAAAGCGTTTCGGAATAGTAGTTGTATCGGCTGGAGTCCGTATGATGATAGCCTATATATAATGTAGAATACAACAGTTATGCACTGCGACACTTCAGGGAAAAGAGTATGAATGAAATACTCGACAATTTAGTTGAGTATTGGGAACGGTAAATATCCCGAAGAAGACTCAGTTTTCCTTATTCTGATTTGGGAATTAATCGTTTTTTGTTGAAAAAATTTCCCAGCTTACGGCGGCCTCAAACAGTAAGCTATTTTGACAGGTGATGCTGACATTTCACTTTTTCGTGTTAAAAAAAGTTTTTAATTCAGGTTTTTTATTCAGGCGAAGGTGGGGACCGACAAAAATTATTTTATTTTTAATTCAGTTTTTCGGTCAAAATTGGTGAAGGGGGACCGCGTTCAAGTTTTAAGAAAAAAGTTATTGTAGTGTACAGTATAAATATATGTGTTTATTAGAAATGTGAACCGAGAAAATAGATTTCATATGTATAACCAGGTTTTTTTGAACCCTGGTGACGAACTCCTGATTTTAGGTGTGGTTCATAGAGAAAACTATTTTGGCAAAGATTGAACCGGACTGAGAACAATTTTGTTTCGTCAGTGGTCCAATTTGAAAATAGAAATTTTTTTGCGCTGATATATAGCGGAAGGAGCCTTGATTTATAATCTATCTCGATTTTATCTGTAACTTCGTTGGATACAAGAAAAAAAAATGTTGACTGTAATTATGTTCTGAGTCTAATTTTTGAGCAGTTTCTTCGATCAATTACTAGCTGAAACAAAAAGTCTTATAGCAAAAACTATATTCTCTACAACTTCGAGGAAAGTTCCATGTAAGGATCAGGAGATATTGCGCCTTTAAAAATGTTCTACGGACAAGAGCGAAAGAACATGATATACATAATTTGACCAAGGGTATTGGAGCAAGACGAGCGCAAACGTGACCTGAAGACAAAGATTCATGCTTTCACCTATGTTCCTCACCAATCCATTGAAAAACGACTGATCGCTGCGTGATTGTGGTCTGTCATCACTCCGTTAGTAATCGTCCGGTTACGGTACACATTACAAACAACATCCGCATTTTCTTTCTACAGATGTAATTGATTTTATGCGTGAGGCAAACGCAGAGAGTTCCCTTCTTTCTTTCTTTATTTTCCTATCGAATCCGACTCATGCAAGTTGGAATTTTCTTTTCTATTTGTGTTTCATGGCTTTGCAAACAATGACAAAAGTATTCATATACACTGTAAGGTTGCAAATTATTTATGGAAAATGCTCGGCGAATTTCAAAGAGTACCTATGGGAATTCCTCGAAGATTTTCCAGTTTATAGAAAATCGAATTTCCAACAATCTAGAAAATCGTCGTTGAATTTACATAAATAATTCCCAAGAAAGTAGAAATTACTATTTGATTTTCTATAAACTAGAAATTCCTCGGCAGGTCTGCATCGAGTGGCAGCGCGACTAGATTGTATTGAGATTCGCCCCGCTCATGCTTTCGAAAAATTTCTGGTGAGCGCCTCCGATTTTGGGACCTTCCCGCCGAAACAAAGTTGATTTAAGTGTAATATGAGTGCCTTTACGTGACGTGATGCTCTTATACCTACAGTGATTGCAAAACAAAAAGATGAATAAGTATTTGGTCTAGAAATTTCCGACTGACGATAATACAAACAGCTGAAAAACAACACAATTACATTAAAAACAAGAATTACAATGAACTACAATAAATTCGACATTTGAGTTTTGAATGATTGGTTGATGTAGGAGTGCATGACTAGAGATTTTATAACTTCGATGTTTAATAGTTCCTGCAGAACAGATTACCAGTTTCGTGCGACATCTTTCTTGTGGCTTAGAAAGAAGTGTTTGTTACTATCACTGTTTGCTCGGACTTTTACTTTTGTTTTTTCTTTCCATAGCATTTCTGTGTCTTGTGCATTAATAGGTTGTTCATGTGCTGATTGGCCAGCCTATGATGTCTTATGCCATATTTTCCATTCCCATGTTTTTCGGATAGACCGAATGCAAAAGTATTTTGGGTTAAGATACGCTAGAACTGAAAGCTAGACTTAAGTTGCCACAATCAACGTAAACTCACGGTGACATTAGCGACTTAGGTCTACCTTTCAGTCCTAGTGTATCTTTACTAGTATTTTGTAATACCCTAGACTAAAGTCAAGGGAATAATCTAGTTCGGTCGACTACTCCTATTTAGAAACTCAAAGAAACCGTGAAGCTTCAATGTGTGAGTAGAACGAATTAAAATATATCCTCAATTTCTCTGATCCAAGTGTTTACCTTTTTTTCTTATGCTAGGTGTTTTATTAAAGATTAGTTTGTCTTGACTTCTTTTCAAAAAGTACTTGAAAATCACGTCTTGACTTGTTTCAGATGGCTGCTAATATAGATAGTATAGATTTAGACAAGATGATTGGTGCCTATCAGTTTATATACGAATATTACTTTTCACAAGCTGATAGTAATGATCATGGTATTACGAGTTCAATAGAAGCAAGTAACTTCTTACAACGTTCAAATTTAAAATCGGATGTATTAAAGGATATTTGGGGCCTGGCAGATCCAAATGGAAAAGGGTATCTCGATCGACATGCATTTTATATCGCATTGAAATTTGTTGCATTAGCACAAAATAATTTACAATTGAATTATGATAATCTTTATCAAGAATTACCACCACCAAATCTTGGCGAAATTCCTCAATCGGTTCACATGTTAGTCGATGATTCTTGGCATATTAATGGTATATATTAAAAACCTTATCATTTGGAAAGGCCTGATTAAGATAATATTTTTTTCGATTTTAGCCACAGCACGATGTACATTTGATCGTGCATTCGATAAACTGTGTGGTATTAACAATAAATTACCTGGATCTCAAGTTAAGACAATTTTATTGAAATCAGGGTTGTCTGCTGATTTACTGCATCGAATATGGTTAGGAGTGAACGGGAGTAAAGAACAATACTTCTAGAGATTATTTGTTTCAGGGATCTGAGTGATTATGATCAAGATGGTGCGCTAGATCGTGAAGAATTTGCCATCGGTAAGTCAAGAATTTTTTTATTTTTGTCATATTAATGAATACAATGTTGTTTTATTATCAGCAATGTTTCTTATACATCGCATCAAACAAGAATTAACCAAAGAGCTACCCGATAAATTACCATTAAATTTATTGCCGATTAAAGTTCGACGAATCTCAGGAGATATTAGCGGCGTACTTCCATCAACCGTTACAACAATATCACCTAAAAAACATGAAGATAGTTGGATTGTTAGTCCGGAAGAAAAACAACGTTTCGATGTACTTTTTCAATCACTTGACACTGACAAAGATGGTTTTATTATTGGCACAGATGTTTTTCAAACATTTTTGGCTAGTGGTTTACCCAATTTTGTGTTGTCGCATATTTGGAATATTTGTGATATTGGACAAACAGGTAAACTGAATTCTGAACAATTTGCATTAGCAGCTTATTTGATTAATCAAAAACTACAAGGTAAGTTAATCTTTTTTTTTATTTTTGTCGATAGTATCTAAACGGATTATATTATTTTTAGGTAATTATAATATACCGATGGAGCTAACAATGGAAATGATGCCGCCTAGTTTACGACCGAAAACATTTCATATAAATGAGAGTGATAATCAAGAATTGCAACAATTATTAAATGAAGTTAGTCAACTAACCGGTGAAAAATCTTTACATGAAATACAATTGAATGAACGAGATCAGTTAATTAAGCAAAAACGTTCCGAATTAGCATCGTTAGAATTACACGTTGAAACTGTGGTTAAAACATTAAACGAACGTGAACAACGACAAACAGAGAAACAAAATGATCTATATGACATTGAGGAAAAAAAGCGTAAAGCCGTTCAACATATAAATGACTTGAAACAACAAATATCCACAGAAGAACAGTCAATTCAACAAATTCAAGAAAAATTACATGTATTAGCCGTGGATTATGATGTTCAGCAACAAAATGATGTACGAATTAAAAATAGTGTAGATCAATTAAAACTGGAGAAAAACAGTTTTGAAACAAAACTGATGACAAAACAACAGACATTATCACAAATGACGCATGATTTAGAAAAATTTCGATACATTACAGAAAATCAAAAAAAATTACTGGATGATTACATGGGCAGTAATGATCAACAAGAAATTTCAGAATTAATAATCAAATTCAAACAGGTGAGTTGTGCAGAGGCTTGTAAGTATCGCACGACAAACAATGAGTTACTTGAAGGCAACGGGGGCTAATACTTTTAGTGTGTTTAAGTACTCTTATCCTCTACTTCTGACGTGAAACTCGGGACATTTATCATCTCTTTAGATAACAGATTTATCCAATAATTTACCCTCTGTTTCTGTTCCTCCTCCTTCTCAACGAACTATACCATTATCAACATCAAGTGGTAAAATATCGGCATCGAACAGTATGACGGGCGAGTTCACTAACCAGGCCAATTTTGTAGCAAATTTTCCTGTTCAATCTACACAAATGTCATCATCAAATTCACATCCACAAGGCTTTTCAGTCGATCCATTTGGTTTACCTGCCACATCAGTGGGATCAACCGTAACAAACGCTCATTTTGGGGATGGAGATCCGTTTGCTTCATCCACAACAACTGATCCGTTCGGCTTTCCAACATCATCTGCTGGAGGCGCTGAAGTTGGAGGAGAAACTCATATCGATAACAGCGATCCGTTTCAACAGAATGTTTCCAGTAAATTCGCTGCCACACACGATCTAATAAAAAAATCAATGGCAAACCGTTCAAAAACACCTAATCCAAATATGTTCAGTTTAAATTCATCAGTGAAAGTTGAACAACCTCAACGTCCTCAGTCAGCCATGGATTCGGTATTCAAGACGGCTCCAAATCAGTCTCAAGCATTTAACGATTTACTTGATATATTTTCATAGAATTATTATCATTTACTTTAATAATGTAGTGCAGATAGCTGTTGTCATAATGTGTCAGTTTTCTATAGATATTATCTAGTCAAAAATATTTTTAAATAGGATCATAACCAAATACGAGATATCTCTTTTCTTCCTTCTTTTTTATTCGACGACGAATGCCTCCTTCGATTTTTCTCATTCTATTTTCCGGTTGAAATAATGAGAAAAAATTGTATTTAGCGTTGTTTTAAATTCATCGTCCTCCTCCAAATCATTCGTAAACACATATCCTGATAATTTCTCTTATTCTCAATCTTTTCGCAATTTAATACAGTTTAGACTTTCCCTGCTGATTGTGGAAAGTAATATTGTAATACTGTGTAGTGGATATGAACGAAAGATTTTAATATTCTCTAATACGACAAATATATTTTTCTACAAATCTAGTCATACGAAATGCGAACGTATAAGGAAAGAAGCGTTTTTACTTACTAAGATATTGACCGTGCTGGCACAGGATACCTTGGGAGAAAAGAGATCTTTTTTTGGTTATGTTCCTATTATGCATATTAATCTAATTTCTTTTTCGTATATGTTACACAAACGAAAAATTCTACAGATAAATTTTTTTCTTAGTCACTATGCTCAAGTTTCGGAGGTACAGCGTTGACATGATCAAGTCACTAGTGTATGGTGAATATTAAATTCTGTTAGCGCATTAACAAATTGCTCATCACACTTCATCTTCTTCATGCTGGAGGAAGCTACTTAAAGAGCATCTCAATCATCAGTTTGGCTTTAAGGACACCATCAGCCAAAAAGAAAGTCAACATATGAAAATGTTTACAAAAAACTACATCTGCAAGAGGTTCCAGCACTTGATAATTTTTGCAGTAAGACACATGAAAACACTGAACTTCTCAATGATGATCTCTCTCGCCACTTGCACCTACGCTCGAGTTTATTTGCTGCAAGCTGCGGTGCTGGGCAAATTCGGATTCTGACTCGACATCCTTCCGGGCTCATCCAGCCCTGCCAAGTTGCAGCTGAGTTGTAATATTATTACATTAATCGCTGTATACCGATCAAATGTCAGAACTACCCTACAAAAATAATGTTTTATCGGCACTAGTTGTGCACAGATGTGCACCGGTGCCGAATAATTTTTTTTCGGGACACCGATGTAGAAAGCCTGTAAAAATCTCGCATCAGCGCCAAAGTTTTGTTTTCAATCGCCATTTTCTTTTGTTAATTTCTGTCTATATTGACATCGCAGTCTACTTCTATTTTTTCGAATGTCTTTCTGACTTTATCTTTTCCTTCTCATAAGAGAAGTGCCGAGGCAATGCCGCACGGTTTTGGCATGTCAATATGATACTGATCAGTACCGCACCCTAATACAAAATTCAGTATAAACAACCATAATAAGAAACTAATTAAACTGATTAAATAAATTTTCGTTATTTCCCGAACTCCGCACACTTTTAATTAATTTCAAATTGTGATCAAACAATCTTCAAAGGCGGTGGGTGGTTGAAAGTGTGTGGAGTTTGGAAATGAACCTAAATTTTAGTGCGGCACTGACTTTTACCAGTGCGACACTTTTTTAGCAGAAATATATCGGCACTTGCTGGGTATGGATGCGCACCGGTGCCAATGACTGATGGCATGCCATGCGCATTGGAATGTTTTTTATAAGATATGCTTAGATTGACCGGTTATGATAAGAAAAATATGAATTTATTTGGCTCTGTGCTACTGATTTTTAAACAACTGAACATCGATAACAATAGGTGTACAGAATAGTACTGCTAAAAAATAAAATATACAATAATTTCACGAAATGTGTGACTAAGAATATCTGTTGGACAGCTGAACCTCCCTGACATGATGCCTAACGATAAACGAACTTAGTAAAACCTGATCAGACGACATTAACTAATATGAATGAAATTATTGTCAGAGACTGTTAAAGAGATTTTATGGCAAAATGAATCTAAAATCAGGTAATATTTTTCTTTGATCTAAATATTGATTATTGTCTCTGATATTTGCTTATTATTAAATCAGGATAAAATAAAGTTGACAGTTTTTCCGAACAAGCAGTAGATATTACATATTAACGTGAGAGATTTTCTCACAAGACATTTTTCAACGTTCAATGTTTTCATAAAATTCATTTCATCAATAATCATAATCAATGACCGTGACTTGTAATCTATTACAGTAATACTATCTCTTCATTTGTAGAAAACGACGACGATCACGTATGTATATTTGTATTTAATCCTTTTTCATCAGCGGCAACATTAATCCAAAATTTAGAGAAGATGGTAAAAAAAACTCAAGGTTATCATAGATCGCAAGAAAACATAGAATTACATTTAAAACGAACCATGTTATCTTTTTTTTCTCTATATCTATAGATAAATTTCACGAATAATCGTGTAAAAAAAGAGAAAAATGGTTTGTTCTTCACGATTTAAGATATAAGTATATGTTGGTGGTATATTAAAAACATCATAGAACTTTTTATTGATGTTTTTTTTCTTTTTTTAGTTCTAAAGGTAGCAGGATAAATGCAAACAAATAATTGTACGCTAAATGTGAGAATAGTGCCAACCGAGAAAAAAAATGCTATAAACACGTAATCTTTGAAAAACAATTGTATATAAGTTAATAAAAATATGCGTGGAAAAAATGATTCGCATGTGTTTTTTTCCTTATTTTATTGCATCATATCTGTCAATACAATTTCACAAAATATTTATAAGGGTATACTTACGAATATTCGTACACTAAAAACAAAAAAAAAGGAATAATTTTCTTTTTATGAACTACTACCGTACTTTGCCATTTAAAAAGTTAGTCATTATACTATTTACAATTAGATTTGGTAGGTAAGTACAGAAACATCACATAGTTTGATTCTTTGTTGTCTCACCTGTTGTTCATTAGTGAAGAAAAAAAATGTCATTTTTGATACAATGTTTTGACTATATGATATTTGATTAGAAGCAACAGCTGAGAATTAAAATAAAATTGTGTCAAACAATCTGCTAAAAATAATCATCATTTATATATGTATAGGTGTAAAATAGAAAGAGAAATTAGAAACTTTCTGTTCTAATAAAATTGTACAGTTCTCTCCTTTTTCTTTTTACTGAAATGAATTCATCCGTTCAACCGTAGACACTTAAAGTTTCTCTCTGTATGGCCTCATATCCAACAATTTTTATCATATCTACATTTTGAAGGGTCTACGAAAACTTATGACGGCTTGTCAATAGTAGCAGTAGTAATTGAAATAAAAGTACAAATCTCAATTTTATGTTTTTGTCAAGAGTTGTTGTTATCAAATTTATGTGAAAACTATTGTCCTGTTCAAAGACACATAAACACAAAAAAAAGAGAATGTATCAAGAAATATTTATTTAAATGAAAGTACCTCTTTGTAGTTTGTGTTTTTTTTTGTTTTGGTTGTTGTTGTCAGACAATACAGTACGCAGTATTCATTTTTGTTTTTTTTATAGAACTCATTGACAAACAAAAAGGTAAGTATCTGTTGATGTTTCTAGCGTTTGGATAACAGGTTCGAAAGTTATTGTATTCTTTATTTCAAGTAAAACAGATAAATAGTTAAAAATTAGCAATACGTATTCGATTGTAGTAAGCAAAATCGGACCATATTTTCATATGAGATGGCAAACATTTCTGATAGTACATCTCTGATATCTTACTCACCGGTAAATAATGATAAACCGTTTATCCATAAAATTTTTTGGTATATTATACGATCTACTAGCTCTCCTTTCCTTTCAACTATCGAATTTGAATTAATTGCATGCATTTGTGTTTTATATATTAAAAAATGAACTTTTATTTTTAGAATGACATATCATAATGTATTTCATGGCAATTCTCCAATAGCTGATAGACCACTTAATAATAAAGTGAAAAAATCTTCCGATAATCATTTATTATCTAGATCGCCTTTTTCACCACCTCAATATCTTCGTATTGAATGTACAGCTGAAGAAAAACATTTAACAAGTAATATATTATCGACGCCATTTACGTTAAATTCTCTTATTCAACCAATTAAATTTACTCTTTACGATAAACTAAAACCGATCAATTATAAATCAGAAATAGTTATACACAATAATCCGGAAACAAATTTACATATTAAAGTTTTACGTGTTGCATTTCCTAATGGTGGTCGTAGTCAATCGGTGAATCGGTCATCATATTGTTATCGCGAACAAAGTTCACTAAACGATTTGTCTTCTTCAAAAATGTTGCAAGATGATAAAAAAACGACAAAACGACGATCACTCGTTTTACCCTGGTCATCTCGTTCACGATCAGAAGTCACACTTCATCAATGGATTGATAACATTTCTAATAATGAAGCATTGATGTACGATGATGATATTGTGTTTTTTTTGAAAAGTGGTGAATTTTATGTTCGAATATAATGAACTTTTTGTTTTCAGATAGAAAGAAAATAATTAGTTCTAGCATAGTAATAAAGATGTAAGTACACGATAATTCGTAGCAATTTGTGGTAGAAATCTTTTTTTATACAGATATATTATTGATATTTCCAGTTGACCAACCATCACTTTTTATTGTAAAATCAGAATATTTATTCTGAATTATTCACAACCGACTTTGTACAGATAGAAAATAATCATCAAAAAGTATACAAAAAAAAACTCTCTAATAATTTAGTTATTACAATGCAAAAAATCGTCTTAACATTCCGTTTGGATAGTTATTATCACTTGAATAAGTTAACATAAAAGACCTTCATTACATTACTGACCATACTTCAATACTGTTCATGATGACTTTAAATGGACATGGTAAGTAGTAGATGATTACCGTTCATTCGATTGTTTTTACGTTTCTGAAAAGGTTTTTAACGACACGATGATATAGTAAAAAGCATTTTATATTTTTCTTTTGAAATACGTAGAGTTATAACTTTTAGATGTAATAAAACAATATCTTTCATTTGTTGAACATGGTTCTTTAAACACTAGTGTTTCATTATGTTTCATCAAACATCTGTTGGGGATATCTTGTTTCACGGATGACATTACTTCAATATTTTTCTCTTCATCAAAAAGTAAGATACACAGTACTCTCCAAAATGGACAATTAGCACATGATAACCTCCTAATTATCTTACTTTGAGCTCAACAGAGTCTATAAAAAGTGGCACAGGACCATCATATTTATCTTTATTATGAAAACAAATAAAACTGAGAAGTTTTAAACCTTCACTACAAAATTTTAATCATCATCTTCGAAAAATGATATTCATTTCATGAAAAAAAAGTAAGTTTTCTTCTGTTGGAAATATCTGTGCGTAAATATTTTATCAACTAGCATTTTCAAGATCATATTACACTCTTTTGTTTTTTCTCATTCAACGTGACATTGTCTCATTGTATGATGACAGAAGTTCTATGTAACTAAGCAGCAGCAGAAGCAATCTCCATTTTCTTTTTCGATTCTTTATGCTCTTGTTGAACATATTCAAGACAACGATGTGACAGAGAAAAGAAAACTGCTGTGTGTATGTATGTGTGTGTGTGTGTGTGTTTTATACCGCTAAGATGTAGCAACAGAAATCTTTCAACTATAATATTTGATTATGTTTGACATAATGGAAGAAACAGAAAAAAAGCTACGAGAACAGGAAGAGAAAGTTTTACATCGATACCAAACTTTTTCATCTTTGAATAGAAAAAAAATCAAAGAAAAAAATTTATTGTTAGAATTTACTTAAAATAATAATAATGATAATAATTTTCGTTTTTCTGCGATTATCTTAGTTACCAAACTTTTTTCCTTATAACAAGAAACATTAAAATAGAGAAGAACACGAAAGAAATAATAGTTTTCTATCCGTAACCAAGTTGTAGCATGTTGCTTTCGTTTAATAGCAATTTTTTTTTGTTACACCTACCGTTCTCGCTCGCTGTGATCAAGTGAATACAACACCTCATATCAAATTATTTTTCTTCATTTTCTTCTTTATAAAATTAGACTAAACGTTAAGTGTTTGTGTCTGATTTTACGAAGAAAAGTTAACTGTACATACATCTCTATAGATTGACTTCATAAATAACGAGTTAATCGTCTCCAATCGGGTAGACGATCAAAGATGAGTACAACCGCAAAAAACTATAATGGTTATAATTCATTTTTGGATAAATATCGAACAAATTTAAATACAAAAGGAAAGTAAGTACAAAACCTTTTTTTCTTATAACCTTCGTTTACGGAAAATAGAATGGTAATATATATTTCGATATGTGAATTAAAAATATTCATTTTAAGAATGTTTCATAAATTACCTTTATTCTTACTTCAATCTTTATGATAAATGTGACAATAAACATTTATTCAGTTATATAAAAGATAATAGTGATAAAGATAGTCGCCTGGCAGCGTATAGTAATAATATATTCGGCTACTCGTAAAAAGAAGTAAAAAAACGTCTATTTTGTTACAATAATAGAAAGTGAATACCAGTTCTGTACAGTTAAAGTTCTGAAAAAAATGTGCACGGCACAAACAACGCACTATACACCAACCAACTACGATACGAACAATAGTACAAATTATAAGCGATCTACTAGTAACAATCAAAATAGAAATAATTATTCGATATTGGATGCAAGTAGTAATAATCTAACGAACTTAGCAAATGAAAGAGAAGTAAAGAGAAAAGATAGGGCTGATGGTACACAATCGACCAATTTTCTTGATAAATATCGCTCAAAAACGTCATCAGACATAAAAAACAGGTAAACTAATATATATGTTTATCTGTGTTACTTTTGTGTGTTTCTCGTCGACTATTAAATTTCCGCACGGAGAAATGTATTTTGTTTTTCATGCGGAGTGGAAGCAACAGTCTTACTTCTGTCTTCACACACACATATATATATATATATATAGGAAACAGTTTCTTCATAGACTTTTTTCTTGTTAGTAGTACTCAAAGAAACTTTATTTTAGTTCATCGTATTATGTACCAAGGTACGTTTTTCTCAGTTATCTATACTTATCACTCTGATATCAATCGTCTTTCCTCTATTGCTGTATCCACCTGAGAGAACATAACATAATTATTTGCCTCTATGTTAGTATAAAAAATTGATTTCTCATCGTCATCCCTCAACATCCCCGATTAATATTTAAGTTATTTCAAAACCTGCTTCTTTTTTGCTTGTTCTGTTTTGAGTTACAGGCGATAAAACATATCTTTTGTGAAGTGTTATTAACTGATATGTGTATTGACAGATTCGATAGGAATTTGTATTGGACAATGGATATTGAATTTACTTTTACTTTTCACATTGTTCATTTCACTATGTTTCAGTCCCTGTTGCGTTCAATATTCGTCTCGAAGGTAAAAACCTTAATTGAGAAAGAGTTTGGATGCTTTCCTTCCCATCATTCCATTCTCAAACTATAAACCTCATTAAAGATAAACAATCTATCTAATAATAAAAACGCATTGTTCAACAAAATTTTGAAAACGATATAACTTTACTAGATTTTTTTAATTATTTAGTAGTAATTCTGGACAACAGTCCGGTTACAATAGTCAACGACCGCATTATGTATCAACCCAACAGCAATCACCGCAATATGGCTCTAACGGATATGATACATCAACGTTGAGAGCTTCTGGTAAGACATATTTAATTCAAACCATTTTCAATTTGTTTATATTATTTATTCTTTTAAGGCAATGTAATAAACGATGAACGTTTTGGAAATGAAATATTGGCACGTGCTGGACCAAGGTAATGATCGCATATAATGTTTATTCATTGATAATTGAGTTTATATTTTGTTTTAAGCTCACAGTATCAACATCCAGAATATCGTACGCATGAAGTTATTGCCCCAGAAGTACGTTGTTACTTTTTATTAGTAATCTGAACATGAAAAGACGATTGTAATTATAGGGTCGAATAGAAAATCTTGATGTTCAACATGATCAGGATCCACTGCGTGTTGTTAAACCTGGTTCACAAGATGTTCATTATAAACAACATGTTAATGTTCGATTTTTGGAACCACCACTACCAGCAGACCCAGCTCCGATTATCATTAAAGTATGAATACAACAATAGTCTTTTTTGTAAAATTTTTTACAAATATAATTTATTTTTAGGAAAGACAAGCACCGGCTCCCCCACGTAAGTTATCCGACTATTTAACAGTCTTGTTTCGTTCAACTGAATGTAGTTACTATGTCGCTACTATCAATATTTTTTATTCAACTTTTGATTGTACTAATTAGTCTATGAATTTTAAATATTTTCTAGCACAGCCTCCAATTGTTGTTCGCCAACGACCACCAACTCCACGTACTCCTCCACCTCTAATTATTCGGGGTATGTAAGAAAATAAGATTTGGAATATTTATGACTGATTTAATTACTATAGAGAGACCACCGACTCCACCACCACAACAACAACCTCAGGTAAGCTCATTTGTTTATAATGACTTAGAATAATCTTCTAATGAGCTTTTATGTTTTTCAGATCATTGAAAAGATTATTCCTGCGCCTCCACCTCCACCGCGTCAAGTAATTGTCGGTAAGTAGATGAATTTCTCTCTACCCAAGACAATAAAAATGACCTCGTATATGGCAATTTACAATCGCAATGAAGTCATAAACGATTATTTTTGCTTGTCAATCTCTATATACGTGGAAATGTAATATATTATTGTATATAACGATCGTGAACAAAACGTTTACTAGTATGTACGACGTTTTATGATCATTGTATACGATAACTTATTACCTCTACATGGAATACGACCGTTTACGATCATATGAATTCGATCTAAGTAACGTTGCATGAAAAAACATCCTACATATATTTGTTAAGAGCGTCTACCGCCACCACCGCCAAAACCTCGACAGGTTATTTATGAAAAATGGTAAGCTCATAATTTCATCCTGCAACAAGTTACATAATTGGTTGACAAAACCACGTATTCGTACAGGTTACCATATCAGGAGACAAAAGAACGTCCGGTTATTGTTGAAAAAGCTCAGCCATGCGAAATATTGAGACCACCAAAAAATGTTATCATCGAATATGAGCGTCCAAGAGCACATCATGAACAAATTATAACTGATGAGGGAGTATTTCGCGCTGATCCAGCCACGCATCATGCAACATCTACCGTTGGTGAGGTAAGTAGGGATATTATAGATATTATTTGATGAAATGTATACATCACAGAAATACATGTTTAGGTACGTGTTGTCGATAAAATAACGGATTTACCGATAAATTATTCGAAATATTTGACAAATCGTTCACGTCCACCATCAGCACCATCGCGATCAACATCCAGTCCAAACTTAGCACAATCACATCAAATACAACAAATTCAACCACAATTCAATCAAACAGAGCCTGGATCACAATATCGAACGACAACGTACAATTATCCAGGTATCATAGAAAAGAGATTTGTTAATTTTCCTCATTTCATATTCCATCAAGCATCATAATTTTATTGTCTTGTTTAGGTGCCTATACAACAACATATCGTAGTTCATACACTTATAATAATCCAAATCGAAATTTCATGTCGGAACAACGTGGTGGTGGTAATGATGGCAGTCGATCAGCAGCATACTCAAAATATGTTTAAAGGAAAATTAAATGTTGAACACCTGAACGTTATTCATGAAACCCTTCATTTTATTTATATTATGATCTAAACAAATTTTACATTCTACCTTATATGTTTTTTCAAGTTTAGGAACCATTGTATTAAATTGTAATAAAGCATTTTACTTTCTGCTCAAAAATAATAATCAGTGAAATAGGTGATTTATCTGAGGATATTTAGGCGATATCGAAGTTTCATTAAAATATTTTTTATTAATCATTAATAGGAAGTTCATTAAAGTTTTTAATGAAATACTTGTGCCATTAAAACTTTTTTATGAAACACCAGGTCACAGTGACTTTGCAGGAGACATTTTAATGAAAGTTCGGTGAACGGAATATAAGTTAAAGACTCGAAAATAGGTGTATTTAAGCGGAAAAAAAATGTATATGTCGCTAAGCGATACATAAACGAAGTGAACCAGGTATCTTTTGCTAAGCGGTATATATTCTTGTACCATCAAAAAATTTTAATGAAACTTCTGCTAAAATTTTTTTAATGGAAGTACCGGGACTTTCATTAACAAAAAAACGCTTTAATGAAAGCTTTTAAGGCCCCCCCTCGGCTCAGAAACCTATTTCAGCCCGGGTAGATCTGATCACAACCAAACTTTCTGGGAATGTTGACCATGTCAAAGTGTAGTAAAGATACTTTTTTGGCGCCACATGAAACTGTCCGTGGACGCCACAACAAGGGCCAAAAATAGGCGTCTACTACGTACAAGAATTTTCATTCCAGGTAAATGGCAGAGAGCTCGGACCTTTTTGTTTTCCATTAAACACCTATGGCTAGAAGATGGCAGAGCCCGATTTTTGAATTTCTCATTTACTGAGTCCTGGTGCTGAATAGAACTTTAAAATCCGAAAAGCCTTAGAAGGTTTTATAGAAATGCTCATTTCTGTAAAAGATGGAAGCATAATTTAAAAATCTGACTCTGTCAACTCCTAGCTATAGGCGTTATCTACAAATAAAAACAAAAATTTTCTTTCTCCGATGTATTGTTATCGAAAATTTCTGCACGTGACGAAAGCCCTGAAGCTAAAAAGCAGTCTTGAGAAAAACGCAAAATAAGTTTTGATTCTGTTGAATACGTTTTACTTAAAAACTGTTTGAGCGTTAAATAATTTGTTGATACTTTGCTATAGATTATCATTGCTATAGTCATACCGGATCTAATGAACATGTGCGGCACATGCGTGCACTTACGCAATGCAAATGCAAAAAAAAACAACATTTTTTTGTTATAGGGCTTCTAAAAAACTCGCTCAAAATCTATCCAATCGACTTAATGAATCCAATCCGACATTTAGATTTAGCCACTCGAATCAAAGAGTATTATACTTAAGTGTAAGTTTTAATCATCGAGTCCTACTATACCATTTTATAAGAAATTTAAAAAAGATTACTTAATTGACGTAGGAATTTGGAACAACGAAGAGGCAAACTTCGGTATTAGAATAGAGAAAAACAGTATCGCTCATAATTCTTCGAAAAGAGCAATCTTCTTTTTATGTGTCTATGTTTCTATTTGTACCCTATAAAACAAGTGTGTCTTTCTCAGATTTCGAACAGCAACTGTTTTGAAATGAAAATATACGAATAATCATATTTCCTTTAGGGTCAGTATACTTTGAAAGAATTTTCTCAACTAACAAATCGTCTGGAAGTGCTGCGATATTTATTTTCCAGAGCTCACTTACATTTTTTTCGACATCAAATTCACATGAAATTCTCTAAAAACTTTTATTTAATTAATGTCAAAGTAGCAGAAACGTGAGAGACCGGAAGTAAACACGAGACAGAGAGAAACAACTGAGATTTTTCATTTCATTTAGTTGCATACAGAAAAATTTATATACGCGAAATATGTACAGTTGTAAAAGAATTTTTTTCTATTGCGATTGACCAATAATAATTACAAGGGCTAATGATAGGCCAAAAGCTACCAATATATGTAAAATGAGTAAGAGGCCTTTCAATTTATCTTTTATTGGATTGGATTTTTCTTCATCTGTTGCTTCAGATATTGTACCATTTGCATGTCCATTACTATCCAATTGATATGCATCATTTTTTTCACTTCGTCTATCATTTTTGAAACAAAATTCCAAGCATTCAAATATGAAAAATATTAACACAATCCAACATGACCATGCAGTCATGATAGCCCACGAATTATTTGTTTTAAAATTAAATATTGAGAAATATAAGGCTAAAAATATTGCTGATATCGATAACACGAGCGCACTAAAACCAACCAATGCATGTAAATAATTGTATATAAAACGGTAAAGATGTTCAGGATGACAACGAAATAGAGCCATAATTGGTTGAATGAATGCAAAGACGACAACGAGTATACCAACGATCGAATGTGCATATTCTTTTGATTGACTTTTTTCCACCCATGAACCTTGACGATAGATTAATATAAATACAAATGCTAAACTTGTTAATATAGCTGCACATGACATTAATGCTCGATGTACACTGAACCACACAGCTTTTCCACATAGTTTTCGGTTAGACCAAGTGTTTTTAAAATATCGTGCAATTAAAATTCCCGTTGAAACAATCAACATCCACGTAAATATCATTATGCATCCATGGGCTTTCATTAAATTAGCACGATTATTACTGAAGCTATTCAAATTATGAACAATGTGTTCCTGACGATTTAGTGAAACAAGTTTACTTTCTGCTTGCCTACTACTGTGTCTTTGCATTGTATCTAAAAGAAAATAAATTGTTCAAATAGCCATAAACAAAAATGCTTGTACAATAACTCAGATATGGATTGAATAGTGAGAACACTGTGAATTAGTGATTTACTTGAAGTATCGAGTGCACCAATAGCGATAAGTGGATAATATTGTGCGGTTTGTGATAATGCTGCTATTGATTCCTGTCTTTTCCAGCGCTTTTCGGACACGTCAAAATTCGATAATGTGAATTCACACGTTACTACACCGTTTTCTACTTTCCATTGATTTGGTGTCAATGTTCCACCACTTGATGGAGGAGCATCGATCGATTGACTATGCCCACCGGGATTGATTAACCTTTTCACCGCAACAGTATTATTTGCTAAGTGTTGGCATACAAAGACGTGGTCGTTACCCTTAAGAAGAATAAGAAGGTCAGATAACTAAAAAGAGAAAATATTACGTTGTAAGTACCATTAGTTCATCAGTGGACAATCCAATAGCGATCCATTGTTGGCTTTTCAAATTATTAATTGTCATCCGAACATTTGTCATACCACGAAAATAATTCCATGTCACATTAACGCCAACATCATTTGCTGATGACTCGGTAGATACGGGATAATTAGAGCTGCCACTTGACGGATGAGATGCTGTTGATGGGCTAGCACTACCAGAGATCGTGGTCGTGGCTGGTATAGTTGTTGTGATCTAAATTAAAAGCAGGAGTGATTTAACGATACTGGAGAATCAGGCTTTTATTTTGAGAAATCCACAATTATCAAACTGGAAAGAGTTTAAACATCAAGTGGCACTTTAACGGTTGACGAAGGATAAACATGTTCACTGTTGGAATTCCTGAATGACGAGCAAAGGAATTAATGGTTATTAATTGTTAACGTTAACATAAAATTAGTTTAGCAAATATGTTAGATTTTCAAACATTATGATAGTAGCAATTAATCAAAAACATGCAAAACTTAGCACATAACAACATGTATCATACTAAAAGTGAAGATTTACACTGATCATCTCTTACAACCTCTCAACATCTATCTAAACGAAGAGATTAATACCATATTTTAATAAAAGCACATTTCTCCTATTATTCTGTACACCACCTACCGATATCTCGTCTAAATCTATGTCTTTATCTTGTTCAAACTGATATGTTTTTGTTGTCACAAAATTTTGCGTATGTTTTTGAATTATCTTGTCGTCGTTTAATCGCCCCGCAGCAAATATGATATAATAATCTTCCGTTTTTACTATGGGTACTGGTTCATCATTAACTTGTACACTATTCAATTCAAACGAAAATTGGCAAATAGCTTTTCCATCTGCGAACGATGTGTCAATTACATTTAATTCTTCACTAGCTTGTGACGGTCGCCGTTTTCCCGCTTTCGTATGCATTCGTTTCAATTGAATAAATTCATCCGATGATATTCCACATACAAATACATACTCGTCACCCCAGAATGGATAGATAGAAGAAATATACTATTTCTTGCTTAGTAAATGATAAACAGTATGTGTGTACCATCATACGATCTGTTGAAAAGCCAATTCCACGCCATTGTGTAGCTGATACTTTATTGCTAATTATTATAATCGTCACTGTTTCATCGTTTATTTCCCATTTTACGCTAGTGTTTGTTTTTAGATCTCGACTTGCTTGAATCAACTGTGATTTTGCCTCGATGTTCTAATAAAATAAGAGTTGTGCCATTGCTGATATGTTTGATAAATCAAGTTTTAAGCGAACTACCAATAAATGAAAAGCAGTATGGTGGGTGTTGTAAAAAAACAAGATAGTATAGAAAACAAAAAGCAAAATGTCGTGCATGAAATTAGTGCAAACAAGCAATGTTAGAGTGCATAATTAGATCGATATATTCTACGTGAAAACATAGTAGAAATATCAAATAATAATTACTTCTCCTTTAATCGGTTTTTGATTAATGGTAACATTGAAACATCCAACGTAAAATGTTTCGTACGATTTTGCTATTGTTGCTCTAAACTCCGATAACATATCTATTACATTGTGACATGTAATACAACTTCTCCAGCTAGTTCGCGTAGCTTTTTAGAAAGCTAGTACGTGGTTAGTAAGTGTCTATGGAGAGCTCAAGTAATTGGGCAAAACAACTCTGCGTCTGTTCAGACTCGTAAGTTATTAGATGACTAGTAACGAGATGGTGACTATGTCAGAAGCTTGTCAAGTGTAAGGAATATATCCGGCTATTAAAACTGCCATTCGGCAACATTCTACATCGGTAACAGCAGCCGCAGGGCGGGACATTCATCGTCTAAATTTTGACGTAATGATACTAACTATAGAATTTGACTAATTACAACTAAATACTTACTTTATCAACACCATTCCAGAAGTTACATTTGATGGTGAATTCCATGTAGCGCTAATACTGCTTTTATCATTATTGTTTGTATGCGTTATACCCCCCTGAACAGAGAATGGCTTATCACAATTGAAGTTTTGAAAATATCATAGCACCATGATAATTTCATATATTAAATGCATACCTTATCGTTTCCACATGCGACATTTTGCACGTTACTATCAACAGGATCCCATGTTCCGATCACGTTAGAGTTGGTGTCAAATGCCATCAAAAGAATTCCTCGAAATTTATCATTGATATTTATACCTTTTACTTTAACTAAAAATTCACAAAAAGAGAATCAGATTACGATTCTTTCGTAGGAAAAGCATCTATATCAATAAATCAACCTTAATAGTACAACAATTTCATTTTCTTTTTACCTAGGATTGAATCACCAGCTTGGTATGATGAAGATGACGGTTCGATAATATAGTTGTTTGTACAAGTCGATGGGTGTAATCCATGTGCTGGTATCATTGTCGTACATGCTCCCGACGGAGCACCGCTTGGATAGCTATTGATATTTTTCACCAGCATCAATAATAGATAAAACCAATAATTGGAATGCATCTAAATATTCATAATACAAAAAAATTGTTGAGTATTTCGTTAGTAATGTGGATGTCAAAAACTAATTATTATTATTTCTTACAGACCCTACCCTAGGAAGAAACTTATACATTTCCTGATAAGATCTTAGAGAAATCCTACAAGATCCTTTCAGGATTTTGTTTAGGTAGGATCTTAACAAAATTCTATAAAATACTAATAGAATTCGGATTACCTGAAAGTCGTAAGGTTTACTGGGGCGAGGATAAGACCTGAATAGGATCCTAACAAAGAAAATACAATGACCGAAACCTAGATAAAATCACCCGCAAATCCTAGTAGGAAATAGATACGAAGTGAATAGGATTCTGTCTATGATAAAGTCTATGTTAGTCCATGACTTATCAAAATATGTGCTTACGAGTGAAAGTGTAGTGAGGGTGACACGGCAATCATGCCGTGTTACTATTTAAGAGATCAGTAAGTTCTTACTCGCACCAGTTCGAACTGGCATAAGGAAACCGTGCTAGAAAATTAGGACGATAATCAACAAAAGTGGACCTAATAACAAATGTTTTTCCTTTATCATAAGAGAAAAGAGTATTCCTTGCTTACAACGCAAAATAACACGTTAGAAATACGGTTATTTTAAGTACTTTATATAAAAATGATATAATCGGTATAGTCCCTCTATTTAGTATATAAAAGAAACAAGAACAAAAACAAAATTGCTGATCTTCAGCTTTAAAATGTGAAACATGATTGAAACCAGCGGCGGAGTTACGATGGGTGTAGTGGGTTCTGCTGTACTCACCAGAATTTTTGACTTAATAAGCCTCCTCCGAGTGTGAAAACAAGTTAATGTGTCTTTTCTAACAATTCTACTAAAAATTCTACGAAAATCCGCATCCACCGAACAGATTTCTTCAGATTCGCCACTGTCCAAAAGTCAAAATTATCAAATATAACGAATGATTATTTTCTAATTGTAGCTTTTCTTCTATATAGTATTTATGATATGAACGAGATCTATTTTCCGATACTCACACAACGAAACTTTTATAACATAAAAAATGTATAGAATCAGATGGGGTAATTCCGGCCACTTGCACAAAGTTTCTTAGTATTTTGCGTATTTCTAAGGCGTTTTTAATCGGATAAGCGTGCTATTGAATATGAAGATGGAACTAACAGTTCTCTATCCGCTGATGTAAACATTTTCTAAAAATCCCTCTCCGTTTTCGACCAGTGTTCAAAAGGAGACAGGGACCTCCAAACCGGCCGGAAATACCCCACATGGGGTAATTCCGACCGGTCCATTCAAATACATGGAGTTTCCTGAAACAAACCTCTGGTACTTTTCAGAAGTAGATTTCTGACATACTCTTCAGGTAAAAGGTATTCGTTATGTCATTACCTACAATATTTGTGAAAATTGCATCTCAATAGCTCAAAATCAGCAGGCTCTATGATCTTAAATATTTTGATGTAATTTTACACATATTGTGGTAATGAATTTACACAGTATTATTAAATATTCTCATTAATTATGAGAAAGTCATGAAAAAATTTCTATATATATCATGGGCTGTACTCTTATGAGTTGAATAAAAAAATCAGACGTGAAATTCGATTAAAATTAAGAAAAGATAATATTGAAAGTAGAATTAGATGTTTATGAAACACATATAAAAGTACTCACGGGAACGCATTCCAAAACTGATTTGATAGCTGTATTTGTGTAATAGGTACTGGCGTGAGAATGTGATTAAGGTAAGTGCCAAGCATTGCGCAAAATACAATATTTCTGCTGCATATATAATCTAATAATCACTGATTATGAAACATAAGCGTTGCTTATAGATTTTTGCAATATTCAATAAGTAAAATAAAGTTTTTTGCGTTGAACGATGAAATACTTTCTGTTCCTATATAAACTGTATGCTGACAGTACGTTCTTATATTATCTCTTCAATTTCACAATGCCACGAACCTACGTTAAGCTCAATAATAGACAACAATATTCACAAGAAGATTTGCAAGAAGATTGATGATCCATTTGCGATAGTTTGTAACGCTGGTGAGTACAGCCCATGATATATATAGAAATTTTTTCATGACTTTCTCATAATTAATGAGAATATTTAATAATACTGTGTAAATTCATTACCACAATATGTGTAAAATTACATCAAAATATTTAAGATCA